AACATGAGGTCTGGAACCTAAAATTGTCCAGAAAATTTTTATTCATTCTGCAAGAGTTAGACATGGATAGGATGTGCTTATTTCCTTTAAAATACAAGCTCATTAAAATAATCTGTGTATCTCAAAGGACAGAAATATTGACATCTCATTATCTCAAGTAATAAGTATCATGATATATGTAACTATATAAAATCAACAGTATGAAACCTTCAGTGTCAGACATCTAGTTTTTCTAACAACATATTGCGAAGAAAATTGTAGGTACATTTCTTTCAAGCCAGTTACATTTCATGATTTCCCTGAGTCCTATTCTCATCTCATCTATCCTTAGTCCACTGTTGGGGCACCACAAAAGATCTGACAACAAATTACTTTCACCATGCTAGGTTTTCTATTCTTCTTAATGTTTCACTAAGTAATTTGCTGATATTATCCTCCCATCTTTTCAGTTTCCTATCCCTATCTTCCTCCCAGTCCTGTTCTCACTACTTGCTACCATACAGGTTCAGCAGCCTGTTGGCCTCCCTCTGTCCTGTCAGGTATGCTCCATGGACAGTGGAGAAAAACTCACTGTGAGTGGCCTCCCCTGCAAACTGCACTAGTGGGACCTGAAAATACACCAATAAAACTGTTAGTTTTGTCACAATTGTCACACTCAAAAAGTACATACATTGACAGCTTGGGATTTTTCCCCTCTCCTTGGTATTTGTTAGTTTGTTTATTGTTAAAATGCACAGACATAACAGTAATCAAATACAATATTACAATCAAGAAACATGTATAGAAATGACAGAAACATATTAAAAAAACAAAACAACATGTTTCTATCATAATTAAAAACTTCATTCTCAAACAATTTTAGAGTGGAACTTGTAACACTCTACAGTAGGAGCATCCTCACTAAATAAATTTCAACAGCACTTGGAGTTAAATGTAAAAAAAGCAGCTATTGCTCATAAGACAGGCACAGGTGGTGACTGTCCATGGTACTGAAAATTGTTCTGTTTGTAGATATGGCAGAAAAGTTGGCATTTTCCACTGAGAACCCCTGAGTTGAAGAGTTAACTGGCCCAATATAGAAAGGAAGTTGAATTATTCCATCATAAAATACCAGTCTGAGAGTGATTCCACACAACTATGATAAAGTTCAGAGTGAAGGCTCTGTTCAGTTGTTGTCCTTACTTCAGTGTTATCTCTGTAAAGAGGCTCTGCTACAGTGTTGATGTCGTCTCCCTTCTCCCCCACGTGTATGTAGGAGTAGGAGCCACAGGTCAGGGCATCACTGCCCCACCTGGTGATCATCGTTCTCACAGGCTTGGGGATGTCCTCTTTCCCTGTGGGGAAGTCAATAGACTAATCCTGACTGTCCATCACAATTAGCAGATCAACCAATGAGAAAATTGCAAATAGCAGATCAACCAATGAGAGAGTGGCTGCATGTCAATCAAGTGTTTGCATTTTTATGTTGTTATTTTGCATTTCTCCATTTTAATGGTGGTGGGCAGAGCTTTGGGATCAGTCAATTAGTAAGAGTCTCTTAGTTTTACAGATAATAGACAATTAATATACAATTAATATGATTATCTATTCACTAAGCACATGACTCTAACAGTGGCGTCATTACCCATGAACTTCTTCAGAATGCTGACAAAGGTGTTGGAGATTTCCTCTTCACTCAACGTTTCCATGTACTCAGCTTCCTTCCCTGAGATCCAGCCCAGAAGGGTGTTGGGGGCCTTGCTGTCAATGTAGAAAACATACATCTTCTTGTACCACTCCTCAGGGGTCTTGGTGTTACTTTGGTCTTGGTCCCAAACCTTAATGATTGTAAACAATGGTTTCAGTTTAGGTTACGTGTATATCGTACAAGAGACAAATGAGGCACTTCTGATCTATAAAAGGTCCCTGGGTCAAGATAGACATTGTTGAACTAGGAGGAGGTTTATAACTTACTTGTACAAACATATCTGGGTTAATGATGTGTGATCTTCAGATCCACCTGTTACTACTGATGTCCTTTTCTAAGTGAATTCTAATCCGAGGTAAGCTCTTTCTTTGTGGTTGTTTCATTTTGTGGTAGGAGATAAAGGGCGTTTTCACCATGTTTTAGATTTCCAGCTGAAACAATTCTGTAGTACAGTAGGCATACAAGAACGAAATACTAGTATCGAGGTATCATGAAGTTGTCGCAGACAAAAAACATGGTAACAAAACTACCACAAATGTTTCACAATTTATAGTATGCTGGCAACCAGCTCAGAAAATAATAATTCTGCAGCATTTGATGATGGCTCTGAACCTGGAATTTCAAATGAACTTCAGTTTGAAGAACAAAAGCTTAACAGCTATACATGTATACCAAGACACATAACATTTGTTGACAGGATATTCTTTACTGAAAGAAAAGAAAAGATGAGCAACAGTCAAAGATTTTCATGCAGAAACTTTGGACATCTGAACATCTCTCACCAGATGAAGAGCCTCACACTCTGTGTCCCAGAAGGGCTGCTGGAAGGTGAGGAAGATTTTATTGACTACACCAAACCCCATCCTCTCTAAGGAAGCCAGCTTCTCTTCTGGGAGAGGAGGCTGGAACAGAGTATGGCAGTTTTTCTTTAAGAAGCCGAGGGGCACTGTCACTATCACATGGTCAGCTGTGAGGACCTCTCCATCTTCACACTCCACTTCTACAGGGTGAGCAGATTCAGACCCCTTCTTTCCTTCATCTCTCCACCGGATGCACTGGACCTTCTTACTGTAAGAAACACAGTCTGGAGGAATGGTTTTCAGCATGAGGTCCAAGATGACGTTGTATCCGGAAGGGTTGTTGTAGTGGTCCCCGTCAAGTTCTCTGTACTGTCCGAAGTACTGCAGACTTTCTTCCCGCATGTCGTGGCAGCCTGTGATGCAGGTCTCCATCTTCAGGTAGTGTTGGAACAGGGCCATCTTGGTGCACTTAACGGCATCAATGTCGTTTGACGAGGCCAGCTGTTTACGGAACTCTCTGCTCAGAAAGTCTCCTGAAAGGGCAAAACAAATGAGGAAACAATGTATTGAGGCTAATAAAGGTTTGGCCAACTGAAACAAGATTATGAGGCAACAATTTTCAACATTCTATGTGGATACTGGCTACTTGCAACATTAGTACATATAGAATACAACACGGGGTATTCCGTATCACCCGAGGTATCGGCCCGACCGCGGGTCGGATCGCCCGACGGCCGCAGGCCGATCCGCCTCGCGGGAGGGCCGGGACCGAAGTACGGTCCGGTCCGGAACCGTTATCGAACGTTATCGCGGCCCGGGTATGATATAACGTAAAGTATGGCCCGGTACGGAACCCGTTATCGCACGTTATCGTGGCCCGGGTATGATATAAATGTACTTATCAATTGTCTAGGAAGCTTCTTAAGGTAAAATTTGTGGCAAGATGGCAACAAGAAGAGTTCTTCTTACAAATATTGTTCATCTGCCGTCCTGCTTTTTTTGTCAATTTCCTTGTGCTTTTTTTATAGTTCTCCACCAGCTCCATGCCTGCCAAGTCTCTGCCATCCTCTCTACAACTTGAGAAGAGTGGACAGAGAGACATCAGCTATGATAGGTTTATATCCCAGATTACATGCCCCCCTCCCCATGATCATCTATGACCAATCCTGTACCTGCTGAGTCCCCAGGCTGAGATGGCCTCCCTTCTCTGAACACAGCTTCACACTCCTGGACCACCTCATTGTAGTTCTGTAACAAGAGTATGAAACAGACTTTCAACAAGAAGGTCTATCTGTGAGTATGAATTCGCCACTTCCAGACCCTAGTCACATTGAGATTGTGAATCAGGCGTGAGCTACATTTGGGCGTAATGCATTATGCATTATACCACTTCCATTCTTCAAAGTGGTGATTTTCAACACCATGAAATCTTGCCTGCAATTTTCCTTTGGAACTGATGTGCTACTATTACTGTGGAAGGGACTGTGACCAATGAATGTTTAGTATTGAGAGAACTTTGTTAACATTGTTCAAGCAGCCTTTTGCTGCCAGATATCCCCAGTAACATTACTGTACTGGCCATTCAGCCCTAAGGGTTTAGTGCATGATGGATACAGTGCATGTCTACATATACATGCACATGTACATTAAGGCTTACCTTAAGACAGCTAACCACCACATCTTCATCTATAGCCTTTCCACCTGGCATAAGGAACTTCTCGTTCTCCAGTTCCCTGATGTTTTGTGTGTCCAAGTCGATATCTACAGGCTTCCCCTCGTCCCTCAGCAGGCCATGCTGCTTGGCTAACTCATAGATGGGGTTCCCAATACTACCATGGATCCAGTTGGCTCCAAACTCGAGAGTGTCTGAACCTAAGGTCAAAAAGATGGTGCAATATGGTCATCTGGCCTAACATCTTTTTTAGAGTTGACTTCTTTTTTTACAGTGGCAAGTAAAATTTGTGACATGGACCCAGTGACAAGACCTGAATAAAACTTAGCATATATATATATAAAGGCTGAGACTATTAACAGATTGCTGTCAATGATAACAATTTTTCACTACTGACAGGATGTTTTTGTTCAGAAGAATTTTTTAACAGTTACTAGTGACAAGATTTTCCTGTAAATAATGCCTTTCCCCAAGGCTTTCCCTAACCCTTATCTCTAATCTGGATCCTGTAAAATGGTGAAGAAATAAGACTTGAGAAAAAGAATATACATGTATAACGTTACCCTATATGCTACCCCAGGGCTCAAAATCTTTTTTTTCTCGGGTATGTGCAAAATTGCACGTTGGCCAAAATTTTTGGTGCAATTTGAAAACCTTATGTGCAAAACTATTATAATTTAGTCGTTCTGCAACTGTTTTCTAGCTGTTTTGAAAGAGGTGGCTCAGTGGAAGGATCCTGCAAAATTTAAGTAAACCCACAATAGATTAAACTGACCTTCCTAGTTTGAGTTATTTGCATAATGTTTCAACTTTATGCCCCTCCCACTCTCCACGTCACAAACACTAGTAGTAGTAACGTTAACTGTTGGAACTTCCCGAAATTTTATACGGCACATTAACAGTCTGAGAGCAATAAATTATTTTCATTTTGCATATTTGTCTCCCTTGATTATCGAGCACGATATCTGTAACGTTACTGCTTATAAAAATAATGTATCATTGTATGGTTAATTTTTGATGATTTGCCTTAACGCCCCCCCCCCTCTAGGTGCAGACATGCCCTGATTGCTACCCTCATGTGAAAATATAGGAATGTTCCCAATTAGTTTCTTTATCCTGCTAGCCTGGAGTGTGCTTGGGGGAAAATGTGTGTTGTGTTGAATCAGCATGTCATCCATTGGGCACGTTCTTTCAATTAGAGCTCGTCACGCCCCCTGTCACATCTGTTACGTTATATCAAGTGTATTAAAATATCCTTGGTTATATCAAGGAGCTTAAATGCTGGTTACAGTGCAACACCTTGCTTTTTCAAAAGAATATTACAACGAATCAATCGTAGTAAATACATATTTAATCGTTGTATACCCAGATACTGTGTCCATATCCGGCCACCGATTCTGTCCCTCGCCTCCAGAATCTTGACGTGGGTCAGCCCCTCCTGGACCAGTCGCTGTGCCGCCGCTACCCCGGCCATCCCGCCACCAACAATCACGACCTGTGGGCGCGGAGAGACCGACAGACCCGTGGTAGCCATGTTCACTCGATGTAACGTTACTTTGCATCCGGACAAGCTTCTCCCGGAACAAAGTACCTGTCGTTGACCTCTTACCTTTTGTCCTCAGGATGACCCATATTTTCTGGAAGAGACCATTTACTGAAGAGGGGTGGGCAAGCACGGTGCTTTGGGTTGGAGAAAAGAGCGATCCGGAATCCGATCCAGTCTTGGCAGTATCAATGTAACGTTATACGTTTGGGTCGCATCATACTGAGATGCATGTGTATTATGCGTACGGCTGCGTATGAAAGAAACGTCAGGATGCAAACGGAATGAGAATACGCAGAAGTGTGACAGGGCCATAACATCATTTGGCAAAAACATGAGGTCTGGAACCTAAAATTGTCCAGAAAATTTTATTCATTCTGCAAGAGTAGACATGGATAGGATGTGCTTATTTCCTTTAAAATACAAGCTCATTAAAATAATCTGTGTATCTCAAAGGACAGAAATATTGACATCTCATTATCTCAAGTAATAAGTATCATGATATATGTAACTATATAAAATCAACAGTATGAAACCTTCAGTGTCAGACATCTAGTTTTTCTAACAACATATTGCGAAGAAAATTGTAGGTACATTTCTTTCAAGCCAGTTACATTTCATGATTTCCCTGAGTCCTATCATGGAGGTAATTTTCTACCTCCATGGTCCTATTCTCATCTCATCTATCCTTAGTCCAATGTTGGGGCACCACAAAAGATCTGCCGACAAATTTCTTTCACCATGCTAGGTTTTCTATTCTTCTTAATGTTTCATTAAGTAATTTGCTGATATTATCCTCCCATCTTTTCAGTTTCCTATCCCTATCTTCCTCCCAGTCCTGTTCTCACTACTTGCTACCATACAGGTTCAGCAGCCTGTTGGCCTCCCTCTGTCCTGTCAGGTATGCTCCATGAACAGTGGAGAAAAACTCACTGTGAGTGGCCTCCCCTGCAAACTGCACTAGTGGGACCTGAAAACACACCAATAAAACTGTTAGTTTTGTCACAATTGTCATACTCAAAAAGTACATACATTGACAGCTTGGGATTTTCCCCTCTCCTGTTATTTGTTAGTTTGTTTATTGTTAAAATGCACACACATAACAGTAATGTTAATACAGTATTAGAATCAAGAAATATGTATAAGAATGACAGAAACATATTGTTTTTTTCCTGAGTTCATTTGTCATTATCCAAAATGCAATAGGCTTAATGTCACAATCATTAAAAACTTTATTCGCAACAATTGTAGAGTGGAATTTGTAACAAACTACAGTAGGAGTATCCTCACTACATAATTTAAAGCAGCACCTAAAGATAGACTGCTATTACTTTAAAGACAGATGGTGGCTGTCCATGGTACTGAAAACTGTTCTGTTTGTAGTTTTGTAGGTGTGGTAGAAAGGTTGGGGTTTTCCACAGAGACCTCTGTGTTGATGAGTTAACTGGCCCACTGTAGAAATGAGGTTAAATTATTCCATCATGAAATACCAGAGTGACTCCACACAACTATGATAAAGTTCAGGGTGTAGGCTCTGTACAGTTGTTGTCCTTACTTCAGTGTTATCTCTGTACAGAGGCTCTGCTACAGTGTTGATGTCGTCTCCCTTCTCCCCCACGTGTATGTAGGAGTAGGAGCCACAGGTCAGGGCATCACTGCCCCACCTGGTGATCATCGTTCTCACAGGCTTGGGGATGTCCTCTTTCCCTGTGGGGAAGTCAAGAGACTAATCCTGACTGTCAACCAATAGATGGTAATTAGCAGCTCAAACAGTGAGAGTGGCTGCATGATTTGAATTTTCATGTTTTTATTTTGTATTTCTATGTTTTGATTATGATGGGTGGGTAGGACTTTGGTTTCTCTCAATTTTAACCCATAGGAACTTTTAAGTTCTTTAAAAGACAAACATTGATACTGTTTGAGGCGAACCATTTATGAAGTGAACCCGCTTTGGACCAAAAGGGGTAAGAAGTTGAGACGCAAGGAAACATATTGATGAAGTTGAAATGGTGGTGCAAATGTTCATATAGCAGTCAGTGACACTTGTCATACAGATGCAGATACTTGGTTGTACATATAATAGAACTGAGGGCAAGGCTCTGTTCTGTTGTGTGTATAGGCAGGACTACCTTGTCCCTTACCTGTTATAAAGACTATGTATTGACTACATAGGTTGGATAATTGCTGCAAAAATATAACATACAGTTGTAATACAATAATAAAAGCTTATTCAATTTGTACTCAAAATGTGGTACAGTACTTGCAATACCTAACACACTGGGGTAAAATTAATTTGGTTTGAAATCTTAATGAGCACACAACTCTAACAGTGGCATCATTACCCATGAACTTCTTCAGAAGGCTGACGAAGGTGTTAGAGATTTCCTCTTCACTCAGTGTTTCCATGTACTCAGCTTCCTTCCCTGTGATCCAGCCCAGCAGGGTGTTGGGGGCCTTGCTGTCAATATAGAAGGCATATGTCTTCTTGTACCACTCCTCAGGGGCCTTGGTGTTACTTTGGTCTTGGTCCCAAACCTTAATGATTGTAAACAATGGTTTTAGATCAGGTTACTTGTACATTGTGCAAGATACAAATGAGGCACTTTACTTGTACAGACAGATCAGGGTCAATGATGGGTGGTCTTCACATCCATATGTTTATACAACTGAAGTCCTCTTCTAAGTGAATTCTAATCCCAGCAAAGCTCTTTTCTTTGCATGTCAGCATACTGTACATCATGAAACTTTTGTGGTGGTTTCATATTGTGGTAGCTATAGGAGATAAAGGGGGTTTTCACCATGTTTTAGATTTCCAGCTGGAACAATTCCGTAATACAGTAGGCATACAAGAACGAAATACTAGTACATGTATCTCAGGTATCATGAATTTAAGGCAGAGGGGTCACCACAAAAAAAAAACAAAAAAAAAACAACATGAAAACAAAACCACCACAAAAGTTTCCCAAGTTACAGTATGTTGGCCACCACCTCAGAAAATACTAATTCTGCAGCATGTGATTATGCCTCTGAACCTGCAGTTTCAAATGAACTAGAGTTTGGAGAGAAAAATTATACCAAGAAACAACAGCATTTGATGACAGACAGAAAACAAAAGATGACTAACAGACAAAGATGTCCATGCAGAAAATCTATAGGATATCTTACCAGGTGAAGAGCCTCACACTCTGTGTCCCAGAAGGGCTGCTGGAAGGTGAGGAAGATTTTGTTGACAACACCAAACCCCATCCTCTCTACGGAAGCCAGCTTCTCTTCTGGGAGAGGAGGCTGGAACAGAGTCTGGCAGTTTTTCTTCAAGAAGCCGAGGGGCACTGTCACTATCACATGGTCAGCTGTGAGGACCTCTCCATCTTCACACTCCACTTCTACAGGGTGAGCAGATTCAGACCCCTTCTTTCCTTCTTCTCTCCACTGGATGCACTGGACCTTCTTATTGTACGAAACACAGTCTGGAGGAATGGTTTTCAGGATGAGGTCTAAGATCATGTTGTATCCAGAAAGGTCATTGTAGGGATCACCCTCAAGTTCTCTGTACTGTCCGAAGTACTGCAGACTTTCTTCCCGCATGTCGTGGCAGCCTGTGACGCAGGTCTCCATCTTCAGGTAGTGTTGGAACAGGGCCATTTTGGTGCACCTAACGGCATCAATGTCGTTTGACGAGGCCAGCTGTTTACGGAACTCTCTGCTCAGAAAGTCTCCTGATAGGGCAGAACAAATGAGGAAATATATGGAAGCTAATAAATGTTTCGCCAATTGAAACAAACTACAAAATTATGAGGCATCTTAAATCTTCAATGTGGTTCCTGACTTCTAGTACTTATTCATTTTCTAGGAAGCTTCCCAACTTAAAATCTGTGGCAACAGAAAGAGTTGTTACAAATACTGTTCATCTGCCTTCCAGCTTTGTTCTAATTCTCCACCAGCTCCATGGCCTGTCAAGTCTCTTTCATCATCTCTACAAATTGAGGAGAGTAGGAAGAGAGATGTCAGCTCTGATAAGTTTATATACCAGATTACAGGCTTCCTTCCCCAAGATCATCTGTATACCTGCTGAGTCCCCAGGCTGAGACGGCCTCCCTTCTTTGAACACAGCTTCACACTCCTGGACCACATCATTGTATTCCTGTAACAAAACAAGAAACAGACTTTCAACAAGAAGGTCCATCGGTGAGTCTGAATTTGACACTTAGTGAATCAGGCTTGAGCTTGTGAGCTTGGTTCAATGTGGTGTTTTTAACACATTGAAATAATGCCAGTGGCCATGAGGTTGAGAAGACCCCAGCCTCACATGCTTCAAGGTCGTCCTACAGATAGCAAGACCTCCCCCCAAGCAAAATCCTGGTTATGAGGTTGGCAATTTTGTCTGCAATTTCTCCTCTGAAAATGATGTGCCACTGTGGAAGAGTTTGTGACAAATGAATGATCATGAATGTTGAGAGAAGCCACAGCTTTTGCTGCCAACTTCTTAAGCTAATCATTCACCCAGTACACTGGCCTTTTAGCCCTAAGGGCTTACACTTACAGTGTCTACAGTTTACAGTTTACCTGAAGACAGCTGTCCACCACATCTTCATCTATAACCTTTCCACCGGGCATAAGGAATTTCTCGTTCTCCAGTTCCCTCATGTTTTGTGTGTCCAAGTCAGACTTCTCCTGGTCCCTCAGCAGGCTGTGCTGCTTGGCTAGCTCATAGATGGGGTTCCCAATACTACCATGGATCCAGTTGGCACCAAACTCGAGAATGTCTGAACCTAAAGGTCAGACATAGCACAGCAAAAAGATGGTGCAATGTGGTCATTCTGGTCTGACTGTTTTTAGTGGCAAGTGAAATTTGTGACATGGACCCAGCGACAAGACTCAAATAAACCTTAGTATAAGGCCGAAACTATTAACAGATTGCTGTGAATGATAACAGTTTTTCACTAACTGTGTTACTGACAAGATTTTTCTCTTCAGAAGAATTTTTTACTAGTGATTTTACTAAGATTTTCCTGTAAATAATGCCTTTCCCCAAGGCTTTGCCTGAACCCTTATCTCTAATCCAGAAGATCCTGTAAAATGGTGAAAAAATACGACTTGAGAAAAAGAATATATAACCCTGTACATGTATGCTACTATCCTCATGTGAAAAGATGTGAGTGTTTCCAATTAGTTTCTTTATCCTGCTAGCCTGGAGTGTGCCTAACTGATAAAATACAGTAGCTCACCCTGGGGGAAAATGGGCATTTGATATCTCTGTGTGTTGTGTGAATCAGCATGTCATCCATTGGGCACGTTCTTTCAATTAGAGCTCGTCACGACCCCTGTCACATCTGTTATATCAAGTGTAATGTCCTTGGTTATATCAAGGAGCTGGTTACAGTGCAACACCTTGCTTTTTCAAAAGAACCTTAAAGCGAATTAATCGCAGTGGTTTAATTTATTAATACCCAGATACTGTGTCCATATCCGGCCACCGATTCTGTCCCTCGCCTCCAGAATCTTGACGTGGGTCAGCCCCTCCTGGACCAGTCGCTGTGCCGCCGCTACCCCGGCCATCCCGCCACCTACAATCACGACCTGTGGGCGCGGAGGGCCCGACAGACCCGTGGTAGCCATGTTCACTCGATGTAACGTTACTTTGCTTCTGGCAAGCTTCTACCGGACCAAAGTACATGTCTTACCCTTTCATCCTCTGGATGACCCATATTTTCTGGAAGAAACCATTTCCTTATGAGGGGCGGGGAAGCACGGGTGGTGGTGACATTGATTGGGTTGGTGGAAAGAGCGGTCCAGTCCGGAAGCCGATCCAGTCTAGGCATTATCAATGTATACTAGTACGTTTGAGTCGCATGTGAAAGGCTGGTAATTTTCCTTGGAACAATTGAAGTTATTATTTCTTGGTAAATATGATGGTGATATTGTCAGGCGAATACAACAATGCATGTGGCACCCTTCATTATAAAAGTTTTACCAGGCTCTTCTTCAATTTAATCCATGGTAAATTTTTCACAGTGAACATTGTAACATTACATCTAGTTCCATTATGATGGATACTGATTACTAGCAGAACATTCTCATGATACAAATAGTGCAATGAACAGAATTCCTTTTGATGACGACAACACCGACAACTAATAATAAAAATTGAATTTTTCAGAAAAAATTAAGCTGGGGAATTCTGATAATCTTAAACCAAACAGACATACAAAATACAACATACTGTTCAGACTACATTTTTACATGATTCTTTCTCCATGATGTTTCATTTTTAATCTGATACAAAATTACATGCTTGACAGCAAACATCATCATGTCAACATTGCCATCAACGCCAGAAATCAACAACTACCCTAGTGTAAAGGGGTTTGTGGTATCATGCACATCCTAGCTAATACATTGTACCTCAATAAAGGTTATTGATTGATTGATTAATCTAAACAATCTATATCCAATCCTGGCTCATACTGGGGTATATCCTGAAGCACCTGTTGTGATGCAAATGTCTATATCTGACATGAACCTTTACAATATTGCTTATTCAAGTAACATTCTGATTCTCTACATTCCAGTGATGAAAATTGGTCATAATCTATCTTACATACACGGATTCACTGATGATAAGCTACAGACCTGGCTATACTGATGCTGTGGAAGGTGATTATGGAATAATACATGTGTTGTTGCAACTTCTTTTTCTGTCAACATCCCTAATCAAGTTATTGATACCTCCTTGATTCAACCAAAGATGACTTCCCATAGTTGTCCTCTACTTTGAAAAAAAAAACCCTCACGTATTGGTTAGTTTTGTATCTACATAGCCTAGCATATTGACAGAACAACAGTCAGGGCCTGCACAAGTGGATCAGCCTGTCAGCCTCCCTCTGACCAGATAAGTAAGCTGCATGCACAGTGGACTGGTACAGGCGATGGGTGGCCTCCCCGGCAAACTGGACCACAGGCTCCTGCAAAGTTAAGACACCGGTCATGATTTTCCTGTGAAGGGACTCCTACCGGTACACATTATCTGGATGTCACTTCAAGATCTAGCAAAAAAATCAGCTAAATCTGCAGCACACCTCCCACATTGTTGTAGATAAAAAAAGCACTGAAATAGATGGCTTACGGGAAGTATTTTTGGTTTTCATGAGCTTCAAGTTCACCCTATTTCCTGTGTCTGACCTTTCCCCTCCTGTCATTCTGCCTGTCAATCTTCCCCCACCCATGTGTTGTTGACCTACTCTAGACAGGCACACAAACACATAACTAGCTCAGCCACCCAAACAGTACCCAGTAGCTAGTAAATATACCCACCCCTGTATGTGGGGAGTAGAGTGGTTCTGCTATGGTGTCAATGTCTTCCCCACTTGCCCCAACAGCCATGAAAGAGTAGGATCCACAGGTCAGAGGGTCATTGCCCCACCTGCTTCTCACAAGCCTCTGAGGGAGGGGGATCTCATCATTCCCTGTGGGGAAAATAGAAACAATACAAACCTGGAAAGACATGACGTATTGCATGGAGTCAATTGCTTTCTCTACTCTATCAGAGAAATATTTGGAAATACATTTTCCTGCAAAAAACATGTAAGGCAACCTCCACTTTGGCTCTTCAAATTTAAATTACTGGTGCTAAAAATGTAGTAATAAAAAGCAAACAAAACTGAAACTGCACAAAGTTGTTCATGTATGCAAGTGGCGCTTAAGTTAAAAAGAGTAAGTAAACTTTGCAATACCAGTAAACCTCCTGAGGACCTCCACAATTTTATGTGCAACCTCTTCCTCAGGCAGTGTCTCCATGTGCAGTGCCTCTTCTCCAGAAAGCCAGCAAAAGACAGTGTTAGGAGCCTTTGGGTCTACATAGAAGATGTACAACTTCTTGTACCACTCCTCAGGGCACCTAGGCTCTGTTTCTTCTTCCCTACAAACCTGTGTATAAAAAGTAATAATCAGTCTTTCCTGGTGATTGAATAAAAAAAAGTTAACTCTAAAGTTGCCAGGTCAAATTAGACTGACCAAACAAGCACATGACCTGTGACATCTGGGCTATACTACACCATTAAAGGGTCCAAGCTCACCAGCTGAAATCCAGGACTGCCTGCTTCCCAGAAGGGTTTCTCATACTCCAGGAAGATCTTGTCCACGACTCCAAAACCCATCTTTGCAATGGATCTCTGCTTCTTCTCAGGCAGTGGAGGCTGGAGGAATGTCGAAGCATGTTTCTTTAAGAAGCCAAGAGGAACTGTTATAATAACGTGATCAGCCTTGAGGATCTCTCCATCTTCACACACAATGCTTACACCATGTTGGGGATGACGTTCAGCACGGCTATTGTTGGTGTCAGCTTCCACCTGATCCCACAGAACACATTTAACTTGTTTGTTATACAAAATACACTCAGATGGAATATCCTTCAGTAGCACACCAAACACTGTGTCATACCCATCAGGCAAGTTGATGTTACCTCCAGCAAAGCAAACATGCTCGCCAAAATACTGAAGCCCAACTTCCTTCATACTGTGGCACCCATTAATGAAGGTCTCTTGCTTAAGGTGTTGCTTAAAGAGAGACATCTTCAGCCTCTTGACATCATCATTGTCAGTAGACTGATTGAGCCTCTTGGGAAACTCTTGCTCAAGGTAGTTACCTGAATATAAATAAACCAAGATGAAAAATAAATCCAAAAGAATTCAGCATTTTTTGAAAATGTTGTAATATTATGATAGACCAATCCTCTCTTGATTGCTTTGTCACAATGTATCAGATGTCATATTTTGCACACAAAATGTTAGATGACACTTAAGTACATTGTACTGAAGTATTAATAATGTTATACCAATAATCTTGAAAACTTACCCACTGATTCATCTGGGGGGTGAGGAGTTTTCTTCTTGAGAAAGAAGTTGCAACATTCTTCTATCAGTTCCTCATACATGTGCAGGAACTCTTGCACAATCTCTCTGTCTATGACCTGGCCCCCAGGCATGAAGGTGTCCCCTCGAAGCCTGTAACGAGCGTTGAAGGTTTGGAGCCGAGCCGTATTCTTCAAAAGGTTGTGATTTTCAGCGAGTTTGTAGATAGGGTTACCTTCACTCCCATGGATCCAGTTGGCACCAAGCTCTATGATGTTTGGGCCTGTTTAGCAATGAAACATTGAGAGATATTGTCAGTTCTTATGCAGTTACTAACTCTGATCAAAGACATTCTAAAATGCCCTTGATCTGATGTCTTATCCTTCCATCAGAAATGGAAAAGTTTAAGTCTAACGTTACTTGTAATTCAATTTTACTTTTAGTGGAGAGGTAAACTTTTTTGGGTGAATTGCTGAATTTTAATACAACCTGCTTCAACTAGCGTTGCTGACAAACAACGGTTGGAGGAGACAAAAGCTGAAGTGAGAGCTGCATCTCAGGCAGACGGAATGATTTGAAAAGGTAGACCTCTTCAAGTAGAAATGTAAATGATCAGGTTGGACTTATCATTAAAAGAGCCCTTCAGTGTGATAATAAAGGGTTAATGCACTGCCCCGAGTTGTATATGGTGTCATAACTGCATGAGCAGCTGCCATAACCACCGAATAAACCACCGTGTGAGCGAAGCGAACGAGGTGGTTTATGAGGTGGTTATGGCAGCTGCCCATGCAGTTATGACACCATATACAACGAGGAAAAGGCAGTGCATTAAAATTATTATCATATAGCCTATCCAAACTGTCAATCAACACAATTCCTGTTTGAAATACAACAGCTTTAATATATAAAAATATATACATAAAAATACATTCGAATATATTATACGCTTTAAAACAAATATGGATAATTTCATTTAATGCAAATTGTAGTTTAAATGAAGCTAAACAAAAAAGTTTGTTGGACAGAAAAATGCTACAAAGGTTTACAGAAAGAGTCGCATGCCCCTATACCCTATAACATAATGGTATCAGCCATAACATGACATGTGCTGTTATTCCGCCATAACACCACATGTGCTGTTATCGGGAAATAACAGCACGGGTATCCGGGCCTCTGATTGGTCCACGCCGTCCGGCTATATGATAATGTGAAATAATGATAAGATTTCGAAAATAAATCACCAGAAGGAGTGCAATTAATAGAATTGTTGCAACCAATCCACTCAGAATCCTAAAATAAACTAGATAGTAATATTAGCGGTTGCTAATATAGACAGGTTTGCGTTGTAGTCGTTGTAGTGTAAGTTACAATATGTTTTTTGTGTGTGCTTTACCTTTTACAGAGTTCCTTCTCATCCTTTTCTAATCCCCACTTACCTTGTAAATAATTTCCTCATCAATATAACAAAAGAACAATAGTTACACCCAAAACAAAATAAATTTCAATTCTTTATGACTTCTCTATGCCCCATGACCTTCAACCTTTTGAGGGTCATACAGGCGTCAACAGCGCCCTCCCCAAGCCTTGCCCGTCCGTTTTCGTGGGCAAATTTCTGCTTCCTAAGAGGTTTTGAAACCTAAAAAATCACACCAGGGGAGAAATAAACCACATACGTTATTTTCATGGTCTGAGTCCACTAAAATCAAGAAGGGTTTGCGCAGTTACGTCTAGACGTGTCTGACAGGCATGACATTGGGCTTAATCTCAGGTCGCTACGTTAGCGGTGTGATTGATAATAGTTCACCTCTGTCTAATCTGAGGTCAATTAAATTAAAAGACAAGCGGCTTTTCACTGTGTGAACCGTGGGTAATGTACATACAATATATTTTATAGCGGGGTAGTGGGGAGGCGTTCGGCGGGAGTTCGAGCCCCAGTGTTGACAAATGAATTCGTAAAATTAAGGCTAAGTAAACTCCTAGCCTGACTAAATCTGCGCTCCTAGCGGCCGGCCCGGTATTACACCAGTCAATACCGGGCCGGCCGCTAGGGGCGCAGATTTAGTCAGGTTAAACTAAGTAAACTCCTCACTATCTCCAATTACCAATAGAAATTGCTCCTGGACGTCGACGCCGCTCCCTGATAAGGAATAGTTTGCCCGGACAGAGCTACTGTTAATAAGTTATACATACATACATACATACATACCTTACTATTAATCATATATATTCCGGTCATGTACAAAGAGGAATTGACATGGTACCTTTAAATTTCAGGTCGTCTTCATGCAATGCTTCTCAATAAGTTTTCACAAACATAATTTGCAAGGTGTTATACTGTACGGATTTCCCTTCAGATGTACAAAGTAAACTGGAATAGCTTGTAAAATGTGCTCTATCCGTCATAGTAGATCCAGGCCAGATGTTTGTCCTTGAGCGCGATGATCGCAGTTCTGCTGTTCAAGGCCGTGTGAAAAGGCACGTTGTTGGGGATGATACAATAACGCTAGCAGGGGAGTATTGTTCCTGGTAAGAAAGGGGTGGGAATTTCCCGGCAATAAGACTATAGTTTTTATACTGGTTGTAGGCTCATGATCACGAGACCATGTCTAGAGTATGCGGACATCGTTTGGGCAGGCAGCATTAGACAAAACCAAAGGTCCTTGGATTCTGTCCAGTACCAAACCGCCTGGCTAATTGGGCCAAAAAATCTTCTTCCATAGAGCCACTTTGCTTCGGAACACGCTACCTCCCAATGCCGCACAGCTCCCACTATTACCTGCTTCAAAACAAAACTCCAGACCTCATTTGGAGATCCATACATTGTGGATTCTGACTCTGCCCTCCCGATGTAAATACTACTCATTTTAGTACACCTTAGCTTAAGTCGTTATGCATTTTATGTATAGTAAATCCTATAGATGTAATGAGTTCATATTTTTATTGTAATGTCCTGTACTCATCTTATGTAGCTTGTATGTCCTTGTCACCCGGGGTTAGCCCTTTAAAATACATGTAGTTGGACAGCCCTGGCTGTTCTTTGTACAGCTGAACCAATTAATGTAGGCTTTAATAGAGAACACTTTAATAGCTCGGCGTACCGGCAAAATTTGCAGGAAATAACGTTTCACTTTAGTTGAGTGTGCCCCTCAACCCCCATAGATTCGTCGAGTCTTCGATATTTTTTTTTCATGAATGACAAAGAGGCAAGTGACTATATGTCAATTCTTATTGTCATCCACGTATGGCATACACGGACATGAAAGCATATCCTTGGTGATTATGACAAAGCCAATACCGGAAACGCACATAACGAACTGTCCCCATTTTTCGTAAGAGTCTATTAGACGTAGATTCGTTATTGAAGTTGACGGCTGCAAATTAGAGGTAGGAGATCGGGTCGCGCAGTTGGCTGACCTGAAGGCAAGGCTAGCTTCCGTGGAGTTGACACACCGAGCCTCGGGTCATCCCACAAGTGTATAGTATGTCGTGGAAAAATGTTCGGTGGCAAGGCAGTATCCATTGGCCGGACGGGTGTCC